TTCACCTAAAAGTGTTCATGTGCTTTATCTCATAATTCCTCTCATAGGAAAATATACCAGGCTACTCAATTCAGGGTTACTTTTTTATAATAATGAAAAATAACAAATGACAATGCTCAGTAACAGAGGGAAAAATTTAAATTAGGACACCTCAAGAAAATGGAGTATGATCCAGACATTAAACATTAAGTTCTACTTGTTAAGTGAAAAATAGCAGAATAAAAAATTACATAGCAGGAATCCCATAAAAATGACTAGAGAGCGAATGGAAGTAGCCCTGTACAAATAGGGCTATCGGTGTTTTATTGTTGGTGTGCTTTTTAAACTTTCTGTACTGAAAGTTTTATCTTCATCTTACTTGACCCACCAGGTTTTCCTCCCAAGTCTCCGGATGCTCCTATCAACAGCTTTGTTGGTCCCAGTCAGCAACTGTGTTTTCAATCTCTAAAGATCTCTTTCATTTTCCATCTACATTCTATCCCTGAATGACCTTCTGCTGACTCGTGGCTTTCCATACCTTCAATAAGCTGATGACTCGTTTATTTACTTCTCCACATGGATGCCCAATGGTATCATAAGCCTAACATATTCAAAACCTAATCCTTGGCCTTCCCACCAAGGTCATTCCCATCTCAATAAATGACAGTTCCAACCTTCTAGCTGGTCAGGCCAAAATGCTGGAGTCAGCAAATTCTGTTGACTCTGCCTTTAATAAATACCCAGAACCTAATTACTTTTCATTACCTGTACTGGTCCAAGCCAACATCATATCTTGTGGGGATTATTCCAATAGTCTTTGCTGCTTCTGGCTCCATCCCACTGCTCTCCACACAGCAGTCAATGATCCTTTCAAGTGAAATTCTGTCTCTCCTCACCAAATCCCTCCAGAAGATTCCTGCCTGTAAGCCTTCTGGAAGCAGTATCCCAGCCTACATTCCCCACCGCCACACCCTGAGGTATCTATCTGACTGCCACACTTCCTCAGGGCTGTATTCCACCGTGACAGTTAACTTGACATACCGTGTACCCTATGGCACTTCCATTTTCTTCCCTACTTTGATTTTCTCTGTCAATCCTACCACTGTATGGGATAGTGTGTGTATATATGCATGCAGGTCTGTGTGTACACATACACTTAAACAGACATAAATACTTACATATATATGTACATTTATATTTTTCATTTATTTACTGCTTGCTTTTCCCAGAAAGGCTATAAACCTACAAGGAACAAATTTAATCTTTTAAATTCATACTGATCCTCGTCTTAGAGTTACTGGCACATAAGTAAAGGCTCAACAAATGCTTGTTGAGTAAATAAACTATGTTTTATAATTGGAAAAAAGTTTCCATGCATGGTCCCACCTGAAACAACCCTACAGAAATCACTGTCCTTGGGCCTCCCCTGGTGGCGCAGTGGCTGAGCACTGGGTTGCGAGGTTGCCCGCAGCCTCTGCAGCGCCAGTTTGACCCCCGCCACCGGTGAGGGTCCCACAAAAAAAAAAAAAAAAAAGAAATCACTGTCCTTGTGTCTCAGTTTTCCAGGGCACCTAACTGTGGTCTGAGCTAGCTCAGCCAGGTGACCTTAGGGAGGATGGTTCATTTGTCTGGGTTTCATTTTCCCCACAGGGAGTTTTAGGTATGTCTATCCTCCTTTTGATTCTAAAATCCTTTCACTGGGCAGGCCCCAAGTGTACTACTCAATAGAAAGAGGCCTAGGTCCCTCACAGGCCTCAGCTCTCTCAGAGTAGACAGGGTAGGGAGGTGGTAACAAATCCTCAGGTTCCTTCAAAATGTTCACATGCTAGTTTAGGCAGGAAGGTAAGACCAGTATCTCTAACCACCACATGGAAAGCTGTGCACACATGGGGAAAGGGAGGACAGTGGCTGAGGAGGAAGAAATGGCTTTTGTTGGAACCTCAGGGAAGGTTCAAGATCAAGGAGTGCTAGGTCATCCAGAAAAGATCTTAAAAGTAAAATAAACTCTTCGAAAACTTAAAGTTTCACAGAAAATGAAATCAAGGAGTGGAAAGATTACTTTTTTAAAATTCAGACTAAGGGGTGGCTTGTTTTAGGTAGGATCTGTGTAGATTCAGGGGAGGGATGTGGCGAGACACACAAGCAGGCCAGGCTGGCCAGGAGGAGGAAAGACTGGGGAAGCAGGTCATAGCCAAGTGCCAAAAACTTCCTATAGCCCTTATGTGGAGAGTAATACTGTTTCTATGGGCCAGGCATTATTGTAAGCTTTTTACATTTAGTAAGCACTTAGGCTTCATAAGTGGGGATTAATAAGGAGGTACTATAACTTCTCCCTCCCTCCATCCCTAAAAAAAGAAAAGAAAGCAGAAGAGAAAGAGGAAAGAGGAGGAAGAGAAGGAAGAATTATTACTATCCCCCTTCAGAGAAGAGAAAACCAGTGCAAGGGAGGGTGACATAACTTCCATGACCACTGAGCCAGGAGCCAGCCTACCTTCAGGGTGGCAGTGCTCCATCACTCCTCTGTACAGCTTCCGGCCCCCATTTCTAAACTCTTCTCTGCTGAAAAATTCATATCTTGGTGGATAGACTCCCCCCTTCCCCCCTAACTAATCTTGGTCCTACCTGCCTCATCTTGGGCCACCAAGTCTTGGCCTGCAACTTCTTCCTCTCCAGAGCTACGCTGTCCAGGTGAAACCTCTCCGTGACTACAATATCTGTCACTGGCTTCCCGACCCCTCCTCTCCCTTACTTTATCATGCTGGCTTAGTGAGCAGCTCCCAGCACTCTCACTGATCCAGTGAAGCTGAAGGGTTGGAATGGCAGTACTTTAAATCTGAGAAGCACACGGTTTCCTTTTTCTCTTAAGCTGATGAGGGGCCAAAGTGTCATGAGACACTTTCTTCTGGGCACTGTATGTTCATTAACCTTTGGATAAGGCAATCTGACAAATGATCGTGACTGCCTGGTCCTGCTGAAACCCTCTCCTGCTGGTGTGCCACTCCTCTACTTGGCGGGGAGAAGAGAGTGGGCTATAGGACAGTCTATCCCAGCTCTTTCTTTACTTTGCTGTCTATTTCTGGGCAACTTTCTTTTTTTAATGTGGCACCTTTTTATTTAGCCAGTCTTTATTTAAAAGTGTGCTTTTGACACAGTTTCTGAAGCAAAACCTTCTAACTTCTCTGTGGCTTAGTTTCCCCAGATGTACGATGGGAATAAAACCCCCAAGGCTTCCCTGATGGAGGCAGCAAGGCTCAGCTGAGATAATAAATGTGAAAAATATTTGCACTTATATGCCAAAATGTTAATGATGATTGTTTCACGGGACCATTTAAAAATCACTTTTATCTGAATTTTCTTTTTTTAATAGCTACCTGATTTTTCTAAATTTTCTGTAATGAACACGTGCCATGCTTAGTAAGAAAAAAAAGTTTTAAAAGCATGATACAAACTAAGACATAATTATTTTAGACAGCACCAAAATGAAGTAGAAAGAGCTGAGGAAGTCGCTCTCAAGATGCAAAGTTCTCGTGCATCCCCGTTGTGAAAATTCTCTGCTGACCCTCAAGGGCAGTAGGCAGTACAGACATGGTGCCAGGGTGGGATAACTGTGACCCACGGCTAGAAGGAAACAGCTAGTGGTGCCACTATACATCTGCCGCATACCTGGTTAAGACAACAACGCAGAAATAATATGCACTTGCCCAACATGTAACCAAGTGGGAAGGAGACACATGGAAGGAAGGAAGAGTGTGGTGGTGGGGAAATGAATTGTTTTCACATGTTTGTAGCTGTGTCATTGTTTTTAAAACATTGTTTTCTCTAACAAAAGCCCTGGATCTCACTTGAGTGAAACCAGCTTAGGCACTAAGAATGAATATGGAACACAACCCAAATGCCCAAAAATAGATGACTGGATCAAGAAGATGTGGTATATATACACAATGGAATATTACTCAGCAATCAAAGAAGATAAACTCATGCCATCCGCAGCAATGTGGATGGAACTAGAAGGAATTATGCTCAGTGAAATAAGCCAGAAGGAAAAAGAAAAATATCGGATGGTCTCACTTATAGCAGGAATATAGGGGAAGCAAATAAGACATCAGTGTAAAAAAAAAAAATAACAGTACAAAACACAACAAAGCAAAAACAGACAATTACAAATCAGAGACATCCTGCAGGAGAGAAGGAGGGAGAGGGATCAGAGGGAGGGAGGGAGGAGCACAAGGGACTGAGGTAATGGTGCACGGGTGCCTTGGGGAAGGAAATTTTATGGGGACTCAACCTGAGGGGGTGGAGGGAGAAAATATTGTTTAAAAAAAAAATGAATATGGACACCTGACGAAGCAAAGCTTTCCAGGTGTTGAATCTCTATGACTTTCGTACTTGCTGTCTGTTTTCCCTTTCAAGTATATGCCTATCTGGCTGCTTTCTAAGGTTTCAGATAAGGGCCTAGTTAATAAATACTTGAAAAACATGAAGTTCCCAAAAGAGGAAAAGGAGAACCAGTGGTGAGGGAGTGAAAGGGCAAACACAATAAAAATACTCAAATCTCAGTGATCATAGTAAAGACTCTTAAACATCAAAGCACCTTAGAGTCTGAAAACCGGCCCATGTCCTCAACTTCCAAATCTCCTATTTTTCTGACAGCGGCTTCTGGATTTTATGCCTGCATGACAATCGGCAGAGCTCTCAGTGAGAAAGTTGATCAAAAAAACTGCAATCTCACTCCTCAGGACTCAGAGCCAGGTGCGAGGACAAGATGGGGGAAATGCCAGGACTGGAGTGACCTAGTGACGACACTTGGGGAATCATTCAGAGAATGGGAGGCCTCACACGTTAGGTCATGTCAGGTTCCCACGACGGATTTCAGCCCCATCTCAAGGAGGCAGAAGGGGCTCCTTCAAAAGAATCAAGTAAATCACTGCCTCTGTTCCCCAAGTGTTACAGCCAGTGATGATGGGGAGGGGAGCCTCCCTATAAGCACTGATTCCCTTGTCTCCCCAGGGGCCCCTGCCTACCTTGCTGTCAGAGCCCTGGTTTTCTCTTCAAGATGCAGGGCTCGAAAGGACATGAACCAGGGGCAGAATTCTGGAGAAAGCTCCTCAGGGTCGACCCAACACAGTCTGCTCTTTGGGAGGACACTTTGGCTCTGGCTTTGGATCTGTTCCCCAACTTGGAGGCTTGTGAAGATGAACAGTGCAGGGAGAGGCAGCTGGAACTCAGGAAGGTTGACTCTCCAGGGCTCTCGGCTCTTATAGCTATCTGTCAAGGCCTCAACAAACACATCCTGATTGGGCCAGAGCCACTGTTTTCCCCAAAACAAACGCTGTGGGAAGGACCACAATCACATGAGGAACAGATACTACTCACCAAGTTCTCAGGTGCCTTTAGGAAGAGCAGTCAATTGGGAAGATGATAGGTCGGTGGGTCTCCAGAGCAGAAATCCAGAGGAGCAGTCCTGGAGTACTCCAGAGTCACCACCACAGCCTTCCTTTCTGGTCTCCTTGAGAACCTCCACCCAAATCCTGGGGCGTCCAGAGCACGCAGGCAGTGTCTCTCCACCCACAACAACCTGCTTGGCAAGGCTCTGTACACCTTTCTCCCATTAATACTTCCTGTCTCCCTCCCCCCAGGAACCCAGGCAGGCTGAGGCAATACCTTCCTTCATCCACCTGGACTGCCCTTGGGATCCACAGGCCAATCTGGCGACCTCAGAGACTGACCCTAATATGGGCCAGGGGCAGGTACATGAGGCTGCGCTTCCCTGCCTGGGCAGGCGGGGGCTGGAATAGCGCCAGCAGCTCACCTTTGTAACATAAACATGAAAGCATTTATTCCAAAGGTGGCAGAGGCTCATCTAACAGCCCTTCCTCCAAGACAGCCTGCAACGTGCAGGAGAGAAACCTGGACTAGAGAGGCACCTCAGACTCTGTAAGGGTTAGGGTTCTGCTTAGAGCCACCATCATGATGATCAACCCCTTAAAGGAAGCAGTTCGGCAGAAAGGCAAGGGTAGGACTTTGGTCCAATCAGACTTGGGTTTGAAACCCAGCTCTGCCACTCACTAGCTGAGTGGCCTTGGGCAAATTGCTTCACCTCTCTGAGTGACTATTTCCTTATAAGTACAATCACTCAGCCCAAGAGAGATGATCTACCTTGTCTGTGATCATAGGGAAGAGATGGCTGTAGAGTTTGGTCCCAAATTCATTTCCTGGCTCCAAGAACTTTTTTGAATAACACCAAGATGTTTTTCAATAGCAGCTACATCTGACACCAAGAGAAACAGTCTTCCAAAGCGACTATCAGCTATTACCAAACGTCAGCAAGAAGTTCCCTCCAAAGTCTTCTGCCTTAAAAGAGTGGTCACCTTCCCAGACATCAGTTTAACCAGGTGATTCAAGTTAGCACCACGCTTACTGGGTCCAACTGACACCATCATGCCTCCTAATGTGAAACAATAGAAAGCATTCATCACACAAGCAGGTTCCCCCAAAATGTTAACCCAAATCTAATCCCAGTGAAACAATCCAGGAAGTATGGAATGTGGACAATCTATGACACAAAGTCAAGCAAATGTAACAAACTTTGGCAACTGGTAAATCTGTTAAAGAAATACAGAACTTGTCTATTTTTTCAACTTTTCTGTAGTTTTGACCTTTTTATTAAATAAAAACCAGTAAAAAAGCTGTTCTGCCTTTAGCTCACCCCATGGCTCTGAGTTCAAAGGCTCAGTTGGATCATGTTCGATTTTCTCCCGTGTTCAGAATATAAAAATGTAAGCTTCGCTGCTTGTTGTTCAAGACTTAGCACACTGGGACCTCATGGAAATTTCTAAGCTCATCTTTCATAAAACTCTGTAACCGAGCCATCTCTATCTACCAAGCTGCTGATCAAGATGAGTGCCAGATGAGCCACTGGCTGGAAAGTCATCTGTTCAGCCAGCAACTTTCACGGAGCATCCGCCACACGTCAGTCCCTGAGCAGGGTCCCAGAAACACTGGGGCTGATGGATGAGACACAGCAGCTGGACTGTGAAGTTCACCTCCCAGGGAACCCTACAACCCTGGCCTTTTCTCACATCCTACCTCGTGATATTGCTTGACTATCATTTCTTTTTTTTTTTTTTTTTAAATTTTTTATTTTATTTATTTATTTATACAAGCACTGGGTATAGTCAGAAGCGCGGGTGGGTGAGAGAATTCACCAGAGCCAGAGTGGGGAGCAGAGCAGGCAGAAGGACCGAAGCACACTGCTGAGGGGAGCAGCGGGCGGCAGGAGAGGTCTGCGCGCCATCTGGGACTCTCCCTCAGGTGGCCGGGGAGCAGCCGGGGATCAAACCGGCGCTGCAGAGGCTGCGGGCAGCTTCACAGCCCAGCGCTCAACCGCTGCACCACCAGGGGAGGCCCTTGACTATCATTTTTAAGCAAAAGCTCCTTCCCTGCATTTTTTGGAAGAAATTTATGTTTTACAGAGTCCCAAAGCCTGAAAAAAGTATTAGCCTCTGTTAAGAATTAAACCTAGCAAGCAACCTTGACATGTTGCTGGTCAGAAGGAAAACACTGCCTTCAAGTCCCAAGCAAGAGCAAGAAACTACCAGCAGCTTTAAAGGTTAAATCTGACATCTCCAGGAACCAGAGCAGGCACTTAGGAAAGAAGTGGTTACAATCTAATCTAGTTTTGCTTACTGCGCTCTCCAAGTTATAATAAGAGTGTGCTCATGGGCTTATCTGCTACTAATGGTGAGTCATTCTTGCAAATATGTAGTAATATGTTTATATACATAGTATATACAAATCCTACAAATGGTATCTGAGAAATAAGCTTGGAAGCAAACCAACCACTTAAATTGGCAATTTTGACCAGTGATTCTGTTTAGTGCTGTTAAGAAAGCTAAGTTAGATTATTCAAAGATTGCTCAATAATGTTCACTGGCATTTTCTAGCATTTGATTATTTGCTACAGGAAAAATACAAAGAGGAGATGAAAACATGGTGGAATTCTAAAACACAAAAATCAGAAGGTGATCTAAAGTCTGAGTTAGTAAAGCAGTATTACTTAGTAAATATAATGGCAAAATCAAAATTGGGATATTTTTATCATTAAAAAGGAAAATGAACTTAAAGTCACATGTGTCTTGCGTCCAATTTTAAGATATTTTTGGATGCATGCTTAACAATTTGACCAATTAACAATGCAAAGTGAAAGAAAAATTTCTACATCTGAGAGATTTGTCACCAAGCAAAGAGCAAGATTATCAGAGAGGGCAATTAATTCTTTGTATATTTTAAAATTTCATTTCAGACCCACACAAATACAACCAGTTGATTCTTAACCAAAGTGAACAGCAATATTAACAGCGAGAACTCAACAAATGGTGATGAAATTACCACAACTCAAATGCAAAAGAGAGCCCTAACTTATGCGCCACACCTTACATAAAAATTAACTAAAAATGGATCATAAATCCAACTTTAAAATAAAAAACTATAAACTTTCAGAAGAAAATCTTTGTGACCTTGGGTTAGGCAGAGTTCTCAGATATCAAAATACAATTCATTAAAACAAACAAACAGGGCCTCCCCTGGTGGCGCAGGCGGTTGAGCACTGCGCTGTGAGGCTGTCCGCAGCCTCAGTAGTGCAGGTTCGATCCCGGCCGGCCAGCAAGGGTCCCATATGGAGAAGCAGGTCCCATATGTCTTGCCTTGCTGCTCCCCTCAGCAGCGTATTTCGGTACATCTGTCTGTTCTGTTCCCCGCTCTGTCTCTGGTGAATCCTCTTACCCTCCTGTGCATCCCACGCATCTGACCTGTACCCAGTTCTTATATAAATAAATAAATCTTAAAAAAACAAACAAACAATAAACTGAACTTCATTAATGAAGGACTTCTGCTCTTTCAAAGACTGCATTAAGAAAATGAAAAGAGCTCACCAAGATGGTGCCAAAGTAGCAGAGGTGCCAAAGTAACAAAAGAAACCCTTGTTCCTCCCAAAGCAAAAACTTTGAAGGCCAAGAAAACAGGGCTGAAAGGAGTCCACAGACTCTAAAAAAAGAAGATGCACCAACCTTCCCCAAGTCCAAGACAATGCAGTTCCCAAGGCAACCCAAATTTCTCAGAAGAGAGACCCCAAGAGAAATAAGCCTGACTACTATGACATCAAATTCCCCCTGACCATCGACTCAGCCATGATGAAGTCAAAAGGCAGTGACATTCATTGCGGAGGTCAAGGCCAACAAGCACCAGATTAATGTTTGTGTAGAAGTTTGACATTTATGTAGTAACGTCAACATCCTGATCAGCCTTGATGGAGAGAAGGCGACATTTGTTTGGGTGCTGACTTATGATTCTTTGGATGTTGCCAACAAAACTGGGATCATGTAAAGTGAGTCTAGCTGGCTAATGCTAAATATAATTTTTTTCACTACTGAAAAAAAAAAAATGAAAAGACAAGCCCCCAAAAGAATATTTGGAAATCACACATTTGACAAAGAATTTGTATCCAAAATACATAAAGAATTCCTAAAACTCAGCAGTAAGAAAACAAACAGTCCAATTAAGAAATGGGTAAAAGATGTGAACAGATACATCAACCTGTAGAGGATATAAAGATGACAAATAGGCACATGAAAAAGATGATCAACATCCTCAGTCATCAGGAAAAAGCAAATTAAAACCACAAGGCGATACCACTACATATCTATTATACTGGCCACAACAAAACAAACAGCACCAAGTGCTGACAGGGCTATGGAGAAACTGGAACTCATATACAATACTGGTAGGGATACAAAATGGCACAGCCAGTTTGGAAAACAGTTTGGTAGTTAAAACATATTCTTACCATATCCAGCAATCCCAAGCCTATGTATTTACCAAGTAAAATGAAAACCTATGTTCAAACCTGCATATGTTTACTCAGAATTGCCAAAACTGAGCCTGACTTAAATGTCTCCCAACTGAAGAATGAATAAACATATCCTTACCATGGAATACTATTAAACAATAAAAAGGAACAAACTATTGCCACACACAACAAATACATTTCAACACATTATGCTAAGTGAAAGATTCAAAGTGCTATAATCTTTAGGATTCCACTTACATAAAGTTCTAAAGAAGGCAAAGTTACAGGAATAGAGAAGAGATCAGAAAGTAATGACTTGGGGAGATCTGACTAAAAGTAGGAGCACAAGGGAATAACACTTTTAAAGGGTGATAACACAATTCTGTATTTGGATTATGGTGATGGTTAATGACTGAATTTACCAAAACACATAGAACTATACTCCAAACAGGATACACTTTAGTAGCTGGAAATTTAAAAACAAACTTTTAAAATTTTACTTTAAAAATCATTTTTAGGGCCTCCCTGGTGGCACAAGGGGTTAAATCTCGGCACTCTGAAGCAATCCACAGTCACTGCAGCACCAAGAGTTCGATTCCCCCACAGGGAGCTGACCCACATGGCGTAGCAGGCCTCTCCTGACTCGCCAGCTGCTCCCCTCAGCAGTGTATTTCGTCAGTCTGCCTGTTCTGCTCCCTACTCTGTCTCTGGAGAACCCTCTCACCAACCCCCTCCCTGGCACCTCTGGCCTATACCCCAGTTCTTATATATCATAAATAAATCTTTAAAAAATCATTTTAAAATATTAAATATTTGTGGTATTATCCCTAAATCACTAAATGGTTTTTATTTAGCATTCATTTTGTGTTAGTGTTTGCTTCCTTTAACAGTTTCCATTCCTATTTCTACTTCCAGTCTATGCTCTTACTAGTGCCTTTTTTTTTTGTAGAAAAATCTCTGAAATTTTTGTCAAAAGATATTTACCAGAATAATGCACACTTTATTATGGTCTTTCATTCTTAAATAAGACGCTAGGAAAGATAAGGAAAAACTTAAAATTTTGCAACGTTCCGGGAAATTCTATTCCTTATTCCTGAAGCCTGAAAGTTAGTTAACTGTCAGGAATTTGAAAGCACCAGTCTTGGCACTTCCCAGGAAGTCTATGCTGTGACCCCAAGGCAATCTTCTCTATATCCAGTCAGAGCCTCATTCAATTAAAAAATCATTTATGGGTCTGATTTGGTTACTGACAATGTGCAATAGCACTGACCCAGCTTCTACAGGGGAAATGCCAAGAGAACAAGAGAGAACGCTGCCCTTGAGGAAAGCCAAGTATACAACAGCTGTGTGATGGAGGCCACACAGAGACACAGAGGAAGAAATCAACTTAGGAGAGGCGAGGTTGATTTTGGAGCAGGTATTATGGCCCTTCTTTCAAAAGGTTGGGAACGGCACTGCCAGGGAAGATCAAGGTGAGCCCGGCAAGGTGACCGAGAACGCAGAGCCTGTCTAGGAATGGCAAGCTGTCTGTTTGGAGGGGCGCCCAGTTCTCTGAAGGACAGATAAAGGGCTAAGACATGGCTGGTCTTGTCTCCCTAGTTACTGAGGTTGGACTTAATTCTGCGGCAAAGGAGTGGGCAGAATCAGAGAGAGGCTTTGGTTCCAATGCCTGTAAAAACACAGAGAGGCAGAGACCCAGGAGGGGGCTTCTGAAACAACAGTGAAGTATGAGGGTCTAAGACCTCATCCTTTCACAGTTCCGCACTATTCACCCTCAACTTTCTAGAACATCAGATGTTCTCTGCTTCTGGGTCTTGGCACAGACAATTCCTTCTACCTGGGTCACGTGATCTCCCTAACCTAAGAGTTCCTCATCCTTCAAATCCCTGTTTATGTATCATTTCCTCAGATAAGCCTCCTGCAACATGCTCCTAAAGTCCCTGCACATCCCCAAGCATGTCCCTTTCCATACTTCCTTGCTGTTGAATTTTACTTATTTATTCTGGGGATGCACTATATATTTGTTTGTCTGCTTGTTTTAATAACAGGGGTGTAACATACCCAGGTTATAGTGCAGTCTGCATTAATCTTACGCAGTCCCATGCAGCTTTACATTTATATACTACTACACAATTATCACCCAGCTCAAGAGAGCAAACATTTCAGGGCTCCAGGATGATTTCCATGCCCCTTCCCATTCAATATCCCCAACAGAAGGCCATGACTATTCCTACCTCTATCACCATTAATTATTTTTGCCTAATGTGCATTCGGTGTCTCCTGCCTAGAGTTTGAGAGCTCAAGAACACCTGCTGCTATCTGGACCCCAAAAGTATTCAGGATGAGCAGCCATTTATTTAAACACCTACTTACTGAATGATGAGACCAAGCTGGTGGTGGAAGGAAGGGGGTCCGGCGGCTCCAAACCTCTGTTTTGTGTTCCATCTTTGTGCCCCTACCCCCCTGACATGCCCTCTTTACTTCATTCATCTCACTCCTGGTCCCCACTCCCTGCTTTTAAAAAACCGGCTCAAGCTCCAACCCCTTTCAGGATGCTCTCCCCTTCTGGCCCCTGGGGTATGTCACCCCACTCACTCCGAGTGTTCTTTCTAGGGAGATATGTGTGCACCTTTAGAGCCTGCTCCCCAAACAATCTGCATCTCTCAAAGGAGAGGTCCTGTTTCACTCTTCATTAAATGAACACCAACCTCTCTCACCTCCTTACTGTTCAGAGTATCCTGAGCTGCAAAAATTTCTTCTGATCTGTCCTCCTTCCAGGGCTATGAGGGTCACACCTGAAAAGTGCTGTGAAGAAAAACCACAGTTCACCTGATAAATAGAAGGCATTTTAACATCTTAGTTACATGAATATTTGCTGGAAAATTTACTAAACTACATACATCATAAGTACAACAAAAAAGTTTAAAAAAAGGAATGCAATGGATCTATAAGTGCTGATGTGGAAAGATTCCCAAGATACACTTAAATGAAATGAGCAAGATGTCTCCCACTGGTCAAATCTGGGAAAAATGAACATCAAAATTAATAACAACAACAACATAACTCAAAAACTAAAATAAGAATGTATAGCTAATACTGATATAAATAAATGAATAAACAAATAAGAAAAAAAAAGAGCAAGGTGTCAAAACAATTTAGTGTGCTCCATTGCCGCATGGGACCGAGAAGGAAGAGGAAAACTACATATAAGTAAGTGCATGGGAAACCTGATCCTCCTCACTTCACCCCTGGGGTGAGTCCAGTCAGTCCCTTTTGCCACTTAACTTTCTAATACATAACTACCTACACATTATATTAGTAAATATTTTAACATAAAAATAAACTAAAATAAGGGGCTGTCCTACCCAACTGCCAGAGTTCATCCAGAGGGTAAACTCAGGGCAGTGTGTAGATCCCTGGGTTCAGTCCCTCCGAAACCATGCCGACACTGTAATAGGTCTAAAGGTAGACACATTCTGCACAAGTGGCGGGAGGGCTGGTGCAGGAGGAAAACAGCATGTGAGCTCACCCAGAGCACTCCCTGGGGCCTCCTAAGGAGCAACAACTGATGCAATTCCACCTTTTGCTTTGTGGCCAAGAGCTGGGAGCTGAGAGCCTAGGGCTAAGAAAGAACTAAGAGGTCTGAGATAATACCCACACAGCAGTGGCTTGGCTTCCCTACCTCCTACCAAATATGCAAACCCAAGGGTGGGAGAAGCAACCCAAGAGGAAAAGCAGTAGGGACTAGAGGCTCCAGGGGGCTGCCAGATTTTCCAGCTCTAAGAGCAAAAGGCACAGGGCCTTAAACAATCTGGGGTAGGGGGCTGGGGGAGGAGACTGCAGCAAACTTTCTGCAAGGGCCTGTTTCCATCTCTCTCATTTATAGGGCTGCCCATTCTGAAACCTCGTCCTTACCCTTGGTTGATCCTCAAGGTCAACCAAAAACTCTAGCTGCCAGGTTAACAGTGAGGTGGATTCCACTGTGACCTTCCTGGTTTATGTTTGGGTGGAGTTGGCTGGGGTAGAATCCTTGAAAACTCCTAGAATCTTCAAATCCTTGAAGCTATCCCCTCATCCCCCAACATCCTCCAAGATCCAAAAAGACCAAGAACCAGAAGAATCAAGTACTGTTTGCCCAAGTCCTAGGGATCTCCCTGATTCATTCTCATCATTCCTCACCGAATGACTGCAACGATCTCTGCTAGGGCTTGCTGCTTCCATTCTTTGCCCCTTTCTAAGTGTGTAGGCAGAGTGGTCTTTCTAAATCATATATCTGATTATATTTACTTTGCTACTTGGAATTCCTCATCAACACCCTGCTACCGTAAAACAAAAACCCAAGCCCCGGTGTTGATCCAAGCTGTGCCTCTCTCCTCCACACATTGCCCCAGGTCTTAGCCATGCCCTTCCTGCTAGCCTTCTTCACTGGCCCGGTCATCTAGTCCTTGAGGAAGCCCCTCCTTTAGGAGGCAAGCCTCCCCCGACAGGTGTGGGTCTGGTGGGTTGCTTGTGCTTCATCCTTCAGGTTTCTCAGTCATAAAATAGGGCCTATAACCACTCCCCTCACCACTTTCCCCCAGGCTGGTGAGAGAACATGACATAACGAATGCCAAGGGCCTCGAAAACTATTAAATACAAAACAAATATGATAAGAAACACCAACAAAAAGCTGCTTTCTCCTCTCACTGGAAAAGATTCTCTCAAGGGTTCCTGAGGAGTCCCTTTAGCCCCCAATCTAAAAAAGCCCTCTTGCAAATGGTCCTGACTCCATCATAGTTACTCAACCAACACTGCAGTGATGGCACTGACAATCACAACCTTACAGCCCTCTCCTCTGGGAGTTCCACACGCTTCTGCCTATTCTTCCGTTACCCACCCTTGCAATGATGACCCTCTCTCACACACCTCCTCCCCAGTTTTGTCCTTGACCAGTTTCCCTGCACACTGCACACTCACTGGTGCTATCACACCCTGCGAATGCATTCTACATTTCGTCCTGAGCTTCTCTCCTACTGACAGTCTAAACACCACACGGAGGGCCTCCCCTGTGGCGCAGAGGTTGAGCGCTGGGTTGCGAAGCTGCCCGCGGCCTCTGCGGCGCCGGTTCGATCCCTGGCTGCTCCCCGGCCACCAGAGGAGGGTCCCACATGGCGCGCAGACCTCTCCTGCCGCCCGCTGCTCCCCTCAGCAGTGTACTTCGGTCCTTCTGCCTGCTCTGCTCCCCGCTCTGGCTCTGGTGAATTCTCTCACCCTCCCGCGCTTCTGACTGTACCCAGTGCATGTATAAACAAACAAACAAACAAACAAATAAAATAAAAAATAAACACCACACGGAGACCTCACAATGATTTCATGCATATGAAGTGCCAGGGTTCAGGCATCCCTGACCTCTGTGCCCAGCAGAGAGCCTGGTGGGCAACAAGTGCCCGGTTTACAACTGTTGAACCAATCACCATGTACCTGCTTTCTCTCTCTCCACCTCGACATGCTACCCAGGCTGAAACACCATCACCAGGTCCTCCCGCATAGACTTTTCGACCATCTATTGTCCCCATTCCCTGACTTTGCTGCTGTCCTGGCACAGGCCCTGCCCACCCTTCAGTTGGATCTGCCTCTAGACATCCTCTTGCTCAAGATTCACCCTTCCTACTCCTGCTGGTGACATTCCAAAGCCCAGACAAGATCTATTACACTGCTGCCCACAAATCTCCCGCAGGATAAAATCCAACTCTTTATGTGGCATCCAAAGCCTCCCATTCTCTGGATCCAACCTGTAGGTCTAACCACACTGTGTAAGAGCAGCAATAACAACAACTCACAGGTATCAAGTACTTCCCACATGCCTCTTAATCCCCATATTCGCCAGGATCACAAGTTGACCTAAGGAAATTGAGGCCAAGAGGGTTAAGTAATTTGACCAGGGTCACAGTCCAAGCTCATAATGAGTACATTGGGTCAGAAGTGTTAGGGAGAAAGGATGTCCTGAACAAACTCCACAAATAGGTTTTATGGACTCCACCCCCCCCACTCCAGACCAAAGAGATCCAAGACACCAAAGAACTACAAATCCTATAATGTCATCATCATCAAAAGGAGGATTGCTGGGAACTGAGGGTGGAAATAAGCAGCCAGGGGTGGGGCATAACCAGACATGTGGGCCTTGGGGGTCTCTTGGTTTTTGGCTGGCTCTCGGAGTGCTACTGGGGCTCCAGCTCAGCGGAACTGGTAGTGTTAGGGAGAAAGGACGTCCTGAGCAAACACCATACAGGCTTTGTGGACTCCACCCCCACTCCATCAAGACACTGGGAACTACAAATTCCATGATCCCCAAAGGAGGGCTGTGGGGAACTGAGGGTGGAGGTAAGCAAATATGTTCTGTTTGAGTATTTAACCAGCCATGTGGCTGGGGGTCTCTCTGTTGGGCACGAGCTGCGCTCAGTTTTTCGCCAGCTTGGCGGGTCATTGGGATTCCAGGTCAGCTGAATGGGTAGGACGCATTTACGAACTTATCTCCCTTTTTTTCTCCCTGAGTTATTCATTTCCCCATTTCCCCTTCCCTTGTAAATAAACCTTTTATCAACCTTTTGTGTGTGTCTGCAGTTTAGCATTAATAAGTCCCCTTTAAGTGCGTGGGTGAGGACCCAGAGTCAGGCAACCTGTTTTATATCGGGGTTGCTCTTTAACAGTAGGACGCATTCACCAATTTATCTCCCTCTTTCTCCTTGAGTCATTTTTTCATTTCCCCTTGTTTTGTAAATAAACCTTTGTGTGTGCCAGCAGTTAAGTATTATTATAAGTCCCTTTTAAGTGCGCAGAGGTGAGGACCCACAGTCAGGCAACCCGTTTCATATCAGGGTTGCCCTGTACCAGAACTAGCGATCTTTTAACCATATAGTCTTCCCTCAAAGATTAAATCCTTGGGACCTCCCTGGTGGCACAAGGGGTTAAGCGCAGCACAGCACTGTAAAGCAGTCCACAGCCTCTGCAGCACAAGTTTGATCCCTGTCAGGCCAGGGAGCAACCCACATGGTGCAGCAGACCTCTCCCATCTCGCCGGCTGCTCCCTTCAGCAGTGTATTTCAGTCAGTCTGCCTGTTCACTCTGTCTCTGGTGAATCCTCTCACCCCCTGCACCTCTGGCTTGCACCCCAGTTCTTGTATGCATAAATAAATAAATCTTTTTAAAAAAAGATTAAATTCTTACGGGCTGAGGTGAGGTATGACTTTCTGATTTCCCTTTGGGACTTGGATAAGGGTGGAGGAAGAACGAGAGCAATAGGTATTCCTGAGATCAAATCAAAGATAATGTGATCACATAAATTACTTCTAAAATTTCCTGAGTTCCAAGATAAGGTATCTAAGTTTAAAGACAGACATTTTATAAAAAGTAGAAGTTTTATATATCTATTTTTAACCTATGATTTACTATAGCCTTCTGAGAGTCCTGATTAATCGATGTGAATAAGCATTTATACCCATTTTATGGGAAATGGAGGATTTTATTACTATAAAGGTTCATTTTATGACAAGCTGCCAGAGACAGCACAGCAGAGCAGATGCCAGGTGCCTGGTCAGGATTGCCCCTCCCAATGACCACCCCGTTCCTGGAGCAATGTCTCCTGGCAGTGTCAGGGCATGTTCAGGAACAGGATGCACTTCTGCCACCTAATTGCCTACGGGTCTGGGACTTGGCTCTTCAAATATATGGCTCCCATCCCAGAGGTTCCCACTAAGCTGCCAACTATTCCCACTTCCTCAAGCTCTAGGAACTGTTGCTGGGATCAGAATGGAGGGGCAAAAGCAACC